AGGGAGATTGCCCGGCATCTGACCATTGGAAGTTATTGCTGCTGCGGATCGCCAAATCAACAACGTTGGTGTGATGAGACGGGCTGATAGCCATTCAGTCAGCCCTTACGAGATGCCGAGCCTCCTTGAGTATCGACTTCTTCACACTCCGCGTGTTGCTCCAACACCACCCATGTCATCTCTCATCTCCAGTGCTGTTCCAGGCCCTTCCGGGAACCAGACAGACGTCACAGCGGTCGATACTCTGGAACACGGGCTTTGACGCGGCTCACTTCTCATGTCGCCCTCATCATCAAATCACCCGGGCGGCGGTTAATGCGAGCAGAAATATCACCTGTCGTTTTGATTATCCAGAGCAGCCTTTTCCGCATGGAGGTTTGCTGTGTTTACTTTTGGATATCTGCCCGAATGCCCAATCCTTCGTCGGCCAGAATCCCGTCAGCCAGCACGCCTGCCAAGTCTGCCTGATCTGACAACACGGGAAGGGAAGAGCGATCTACGGCACATGAAGCTGGACGCCCAGCCAGTGTGAGCCTCCCGGCAGGACGCGTTTTGATCGCCAGAGTCATCAGACGAAAAGACACGCATGCAGGGCAGACAAGTCGATGCACCTCTGGGCCTCAAATGCCAATTTTGTAGCCCAGAGAACGCCCTTCCCAGGCGTTGCCTTCACAAGCTCCCGCAGAGGCGCACGCCACAGAGCCTGTCCCGCACTGAGGAGACATGGACATGTCCCGCCAGAGCTATTTTCTCGCATCGGTCGCGCGCGTGCGCGCCCCCCCCCCCCCCCCCCCCCCCCCCCCCCCCCCCCCCCCCACCCCCCCCCCCCCCCCCCCNGCGCCCCCCCCCCCCCCCCCCCCCCCCCGTCGCTCCCACAAGCCGTGTGACTTGATCCTCGTCCTTCATTCCCGCGTTCTTGCCTTTTTTGGTGGGGAACTTACCGATAATGATACCTGCAGTTCGCGAGACGCGGCATGCGTCTTTATTTTGAGATCGTCGTCTTCAGGGACGACTTCAATCACCCACGGGAGAGATATTTCCACTTTCCAGGGAACGGCCGAACATGGAGTCGCGTAGAGTTGCTTGCTCCTCGACGACTGCCGTTCCCTGTCGTTCGCGAATCGCAGAGGAGGGGGTTAACCTAGGTTGCAGCTTTGTCGTGACGAATGAGAGGGCGGTGCTGTACTTCCGGTTTCCTATTCGGCCACACTGCTCGAAGCTTGTTGGATCATCGTCGCAAACCTGCCTTTTCACAGTCGCATTCGGAGCACGGCGACTGTCGAGGCGAGCCGGTCTCCGGAGGCCGCGCAAAACATTGAACAATGTTGCAAGGTTTCTTTGCGAGGCGCTGCAGGCGATGCTAGTTTTAGTGATTGACATTTGAGTCCCTGAATGATGAACACCGGTCGTCACAGCGGATAGAACTTGTGTAACGCGTCTTGTCCTAATTCTCGAACTGGACAGACACAGTAGACGCTCAGGGTTTCGAGATGCCTCGTCAACGATGCAAACCATGGTCCTTCGGTCCCTGGACGTTCCTGGCGCTTAGTAGACCCACGCGCGCGGCCGCCGTCGATAATCCCATTGTTGTTTATTGGTAGTAAAGTCAGTTAGTCCTGTCAGCCTGTCATCACGTCCCCCTCGCGGGAAGGATTCTGTGACGGCGGCGGCGGCGCAGCCCGCGCCCGCCGCCCGCGCGCCGTCTATTCTCGGGAAACCTATCGTTGGGCCGTGTTTGGGTGAACGGCGTCAGCGCTTGTGGTGGATTTTTGCATTTTGAAAGGGTGGGAGGGGGAAGGATGCATGGTGTTTTGGTCACGGGATTCTTTCTGGTTTGGTGTGTGAGGTTTCCTTTCGTTGGTGGGTGTTCTCATGTGATATGGTGTTGGTGCGAGACGCGACTTCGCTCCACCGCCCTCGAAAACTTTGGGTCTCTCTCGTGTCGAGATTTCCAAACCAGAGGGGCAGCGGGGGTCAAATGGAAGCAAGAACTGAATGAATGACGGCTTTCCTGTGTAGATGCAGCGTGACTAGACGAAAAATGCGAGCAAAAGACGCAAAAACTGCAAAAATGTTCCGAAACCGAGAATCGAACTCGGGGCTATGCCTAACCTCGCATCAGGGATGAGAGGGCATCATGTTGGCCACTACACCATATCGGATGTTGATGGGTTGAGTAGCAGGGGAAGTTGCATATGAACTCGATGGGCGTGGTCGGCGGGTCCGCTGCGGGTTGTGGAGTTTGGCTGGCGGGATGTTGCTTGTGAGGGTGATGGGTTGGCCACAGAGGTTTGCTCCCGAGGTTGGGTTGTGTTTATGATATCTCGGGTTGATATGTTAGGACTTGAGGAGCAGAATCTAGGGTTTTGCTTTTCGGTGGAAGAGTTTGTGTGAGATGACTGTATGATATGAATTCATTTGGGCTTTTTGTTACAAGTATTGATTTCTTGATCTATATGTTTTTCCCTCTTGTCTGAATCAAGACTCTGCAAGATATCCAACTTGTGATTTATAACTCGTCTAATAATTTTTGCACTTCATTCATGAACTGATTCAAGTCTCGTGCCAGGATCACAAATCACTTTCTCCCGACTTTCTCCTACCATTCTTCCAACCTCTATGGCGGCCTTCAAGCATCTACCAACTTATGTTCCCTCGGCCTCAGCCTCACCAAAAGCGGGCCCTTATCGTACACAAGGAACGTCCGCTGGCCTGCAACCCAGTCGTCCTGGCCGGGCTCGAGCGCGACGTCAAAGTTCCAGAGGAAGCGCGCCACGACGAGGCGCATCTCCGCGTAGGCGAGGTTCTTGCCGATGCAGTCGCGCGGGCCGGCCGCGAAGGGGCGAAAGGAGGCCTTGTTGTCGCTGGCGTAGCGGGCCTCGTGGAGGGGGTGCGCCTCGGGCAGGAAGCGCTGCGGCTTGAAGGCGTCCGGGTCGGTGAAGTTAAGGGGGGAGTGGTGGGTTGCCCATTGGTAGACGGAGATGTATGTCTGTGAGGGGTAAGTTAGTGAGGTCGAATTTGGTGAAGAGAGGTAACTGGGGACTTACTCCTTTGGGCACGAAGCGGCCGTCGATGTAGTCGCCGGGCGAGATACGAGGAGGCGTCTCAGCAGCTGGCGGGTAGATTCGCAACGTCTCCTCGAGGCAGGCGTGTAGGTACTGCAGACGTGCCGTGGACTTCATGTCGATCTCCTCCTCGCTGGCAAACGCGTTGCGGATCTCATCGGTCAGGAAATGGTACACGTCCGGCGTGCGCGTCAGATGGAAGATGAGGCCGCTGAGCGCGGTGGCCGTGGTCTCGCTACCGGCAACGATGAGGGCGCGCGCGTTGACGTGGATCTCCTCATGGTTCATGCCCTTCCCGTCCTTGTTGTTGCGGAGGATGTACGTCATGAAGTCCTTGCGCGTGTCCGAGCCGAGGGCGAGCCTCTTGTCGGTTTTTTCGCGCGCCAGGTTTTCCGACTCGATCTTCTTCTCGATGTCCTTCTTGCCGACCATGAAGAAGAGCAGCGGGCGCAGGACGGGGTACTGCAACAGGAAGTTGAGCCTGGCGCCCGCCCTGATGCTGCGGAATATCATCGCGACCCAGGGGTGGTAGTTGCTCTTCTCGAGGGAGTAGAAGGGGTCGCCGAAGGCCAGCTCGCCGATGATGTCGAAGGTGAGGTAGTTGAACCAGCGCGTCATGTCGAGGACGTTGCCCGCGCGCGCCTGCTCGCCGAGGCGGGCGAGGAGCAGGTCGACGTATTGCTTGATGAAGCCCTCCTGCTCGCTGAGCGCGCTCTCGGAGAAGGCGTGCGCCATGAGGCGACGCTGGCGGCGGTGGTCGTCGCGGTAGGCTGGGAAGATGCCGATTCTACCGGGCAGTCCGTACGTCTCGATTGTCTTTTCGTACTCGGGTTGATGGGGCCGTCTGGAGAAGACTTCGGACCAAGCGAGGGAGCCATCGACGGCGAGGCGGTTGGGGGAGATGCGGACGATGGGGCCGTACTTTTCGTGGAGCTTGACGGTGTCTTTTGTGAAGGTGCCCAAGAGCATGTTCTGCGTGAGGAAAGGGAGGTGGGATGCGGCGTAGAGTTTGGGACCGGGGAAGCTGGCGAGGGGGTGGAAGAAGAGCCTGTAGATGACGATGCCGACTCTGTAGACCACGCCCTGTTGAAATTGGAGTTAGTGTTTGGAAACAAATTGTATGATATCAGACTTACAGCAGCGACGAGGAATAAGATAGCCGACCCAAGTGTCAAATTCGACGTGACGGCATCTTTCAAAGCTGGCATTGTGGCAGTTGACAGACTCGTGTGTTTGAGTTCGTCAGAAGGTTGAATGACAGGACGAACGCAGAACCTGGAATGACAGCAGTCCTCCCTTAGACTTAAAGAGTCTCGTCACAAGCAAGATCTATCGATCTGCTCAACCCCTGCTAGACGAACTCCCGCCATGCAGTGGCCCGAACCGTCGACGACTGCCGTGCCGGACGATAGCCAAATGCCCGTGTCCGAACTTGGCTGCAGCTTTGATACAACCTCAGGTACCACTCCGCAACAGCTCCGCAACAATTCCGCAAAGGTTTATGCATCGGACTTTGAATCCGCTGGACGTAGAGTGATGATCGGCTTTTCGGCTTTTCGAGCCCCACCTCCACCTGCCGGGGCCGGGTTGCTTTCACCGGGGCACGACGCAACGGCGTGCGTCAAGGCTCCGACTGGATACGAACACGGACGGAATGGGGCGGCTGACTCGTGTGCTTCAGGCACGTAGTTCGGAGTTGAGCCCTTACAAGATGCTCAGCATTAGCTAGAGACGTGTGTTGTCATACGCAACATGGTCCTTCACTTTCGTAATGCAAAGCTAGTAAGTCTGGGGGAAACGCCCCGAGAAGTATGTCAGGTTATGGTTGCTTTATTGATTAACTTGTTAACATCCTCTCGAAATACATCCCACAATCTACGCATCCATATGTACATCTTCGTCGTAGCCACAGCCCGTTCGAGTACGCTGCTTGCCTCAGATAAAAGCGCAGCCAAAAGACGCAAGTGAGAAACCGACACCTGCTATCGGATGAATAGAGGAAATAGCACCGGCCATGGCGCCACCGATACCAGCGATACCGGCGCAGATGTCGCCGTCAAGGCTCTCCGTCTCGGGGTGGGAGAATCCGACATTGAGGAACGATTTGAAGCCCGTCTTCTCGTCCTCATAACGAACATTGACATGGTCCGTGGCCTGCCATTGCTCAGCGTAGAATTTGTCCTTGTCTGTTCCTCCCATAAATTGGTCAGTCACGACTCTCGATTACCAAGGCAGGGGTAGAAAAGATTGCAGTCTAGGTGGGGATGACTTACGGATACAACCGTTCTTAGTCTGTTGACAGGGCTTGGTGTAGTAAGGAACGTTCTGTTCCAGCTTGTGCTTCCCCTCATCAAACATCTTTCTCATGACTGTCTTGGCCATTTCAACAAGATGAGCTTTGTCGCCAGGCTCTCCGGCGCTAGCGAAGCTACCCTCAACAGTGAGAACCATCTCCGTCTCTTGGCCCATATTACCAGCGCCGATACGCATAGTCTTGGCCTTGACAGGCTCTCCCGGCTTGCAACTCAACTCCCCGCACTGCTCGAGAATAGCGTTGAGAGTAGCTGAGGGCAAGGCGGTTCCATAGAGAATCAATTCATTGCCGACCTCAACCTTGACATTTCCGCCCTTGTCACTCTTCCAAGTCTCGCCGTCGCGAGTTTGCAGAGTCGCAGGATAGGCGATAGCGGGGACGGCCGCGGTCAAAAGCGCGGCGGCAATGGTAGCAGCGGAGGCTCTCATGGTGATGAACGGGCGTGTAAGGGGGTTTGGGAAAAAGATGAGAGATCGGCTTAAGATAAGCAGGAAATGTTGATGGCAAATAGAATGATGGTGTTTGTGATGAGGATGAAAGAGAGATAGCACGGTATCAGACGCAGCATGCCGCGCCCATTTTATACGCAAAATGTCTGTCCATTGTTCCCATCTGCCTAGCATTCATACTGTTACCCCCTTCTCGATCGTGTCTCTATTTTCAGCATCTCTCATCTCTTCCAGGAACAGGTAAGCCCGATGAGTGCTGAAGTCGTGATTTAGGCAGTCAAAGCTGGGTTGTCACCAGGCCGCTCCCGCTGGCTCGCCTGATGAGCCACAGGGCTGAGGTTCTTGGCTACTATGTAAGGGACACAAAAAATAGCGTTTGGTCTTGGATTTGGGGGACGTAAGTAATTCTCATGGTCTTCATCGTGCTGCGGCTTAGCTCATCTCGGAAAACAAATCCTAATGCCAGGCAGCAATATGGTTCCATTGTCTTATGCCAAGACTTGGCGAACTTGCGCAAGACCGGCTGTGCTCTTGTGCCTCAAGATCGATTGTCGGTGGTTATACAACCGTAGATCTGTATTTGGAGCCTAATGAAACAGCTTTAATGAGGTGGACTTGCGAAATGTCTTCAGGTTCTTGATGACAATCTGGAGACATACGAAATTCAATATTCGCCATCGCAAAAGATACATTAAGAGGGAAGAAATACTTATCGCCGCAGCGTTGAAGTGAAACTGGCGCAAACCTACTTCCCTGCCACGAGTGAGGTCCCATCACAACAAAGAAGCACATCATACACAAAAGTCCTGAATTGCCTGCTCGACTCCCGCATCGTTCGGATCTCCAGCAGATATTCTGAGCGACTTTTTCACATCGTCTACAGTTGTCTTCCCAGCCGCGTCCCGCGAGCGACATAAAAGCGATGCAACCCGCAGCACGTTCTTGATGCGTCGTCCGTCCATCGGGAGGTTTCCAAGCTTCACAAACTCTTCTGGAGAGATAGCATGGCCATCTTTCTCAGCAAGATAAGACCAAATCAAAGTCCTCTGAGGGGCGCCAGGCTTGTCGAACTCGAGACGAACGTGGATTCTGGAGAAGAAGGCAGTGTCGAAATCGTCAACCCTGTTGGTTGTGAGAAACAGAATACCAGACTGGTATTCCAACATGCGAAGAAGAACTATGAAATAAAGTCAGTCATTTCTTTCAAGCTGATCGGTGAGACTGAGATCAAACAAACTGGATACGAGAGCATTACGCTCAATGTTGTCTTCGCTGCGCTGCGCCATGAATGTGTCTGCCTCATCAAAGAGCAAGACGGCGCCCCACCGCTGCATGCGTTTGAATATGAGACGCAAGTTGGACTCAATCTCCCACATATCGAGTCCAAGCTCTCCTCCAGATGTGTAATACACAGGGCACCGTAAGCTTTCTGCTACGACTTCTGCAAATTTGTCAGCCTGGAATGTCTCAACAACCAAGAAACTACTTAGGTGCTTTGGGCTCACCAGCTGTCATGGTTTTGCCACTCCCTGGAGGCCCGTGTAGGAGGAAAACAAGCCCCTTTCCTTTGCCAGCAACGACGTCGTCGAACAAGCTTGTTCCCAGCCGATGTTCTCGCACCAGCCTCCATACAGCATCTTTACGCTGTGATTCTAGGTGCAAGCTGTCAAAAGCCTGTTCATTCCAACGAATTTGTCCCACATGGCTGACGAGAAAGAAACCCCAAAGCCGCTTCGTCAGTGAAAAACCCGGGATAATTGGAGGAAAGGAAGCAAGATCCATCTCAGTCAACTTCTCAAATGGTATCCCCGTGAATTCTTCTACAACACGGGTCGCAGACGAGGAATTTGGTGAAATGATAGAGTTGAATGACGACCTGTTTGACCAAGATGCAGATTGCTGACGACGAGTTTCGTCTCGGTATTCCGGAAACTCTTCCAAAAATTGCGGCGAATCGATTATGACCCTGCCTGCAGACTGTGAATAATTAGACTTGAACTGATGATGAAGAGTGGGTCTGAAGGTAGATTCAAGCTTGCCTCGGACGTAGGTGGGCCAAGATACATATCTAGAAGAGCCGAGGAGGTGTCCTCACGACGGGGACCACGATACATGTAGCGGTCGTGGCCGGAAGAACCTGAACGGTAAGGATTGGAGGCTTTTCTTGAACCGTGAGGAGGAAGCTCCCAAACAGGCCCGCTGTAATGAATATGAGAGCCAAAATTGTTTTGGGCCACATGAGCCTTTGCACCGCCTAAACAAAGCCTTGAATATTCCAATCCCCTGACCCTCAGAGACTTGAGCAAGTTGTGGTGGTCTGGGTGATACTTGATGGGGTATACAGGAAGTTCTGTGATGTTCTTAGTGCCAATGAAGCGATCTAGTGTAATGCTTGTGTTCACAGAACCAAAAACAGTGCCGTTGAAGCCGGTATACTTCAGTCTGAGCTCTAGTTCCAGATTCTTCTCCTCTCGATGATCTTGGATGAAATGACAGCTATGAAGCATAGCTATCCAGTGTGTCGGAAAATGTGAAAGATAGCGGTTGGTGAGTACGACCGGGTGACCAGGAGCAAAGATGAATGACAGAAGGTCGAATGTTATCAATCCACTAGGCTCCAGGGCGTGTAGATCGTTGACTGTTCGAGCCATGTAATCCTCACGAAACTTCTGCAGAAGCCGCAGCTGATCACACAGAGATTTATCCATCGCGGCTTCAAGCGCCTCTTCAATGCGCCTTTCACAGTAATAAATCTCCACATAGGGATCCGGAATTATGATCGGATCCTGATGTAGGTTGATGTTGACCAGCCCTGTGGCAATACCCATGAATGCACTCCGCAGGGTATTGGACTGGATCTCGAGCTGCGATATCACGCGTTCTTCGTTGTTCTTCTTTACGATGATATGCCGCAATACCAACGCAGCATCACCGAAGCGAGATTCTCTGCGTCTTTGCTGCTTGACGTTTTCGCCAGTTCGATAGACTGCTGAAATATCTCCCCATGGGTGGTTCTCCTGAGTGATATCCTCCAGGTGTATTCGATACGGACGTTCGTTTTCATCGGTTTTCACGATGGCTGACGTGGATATCGGCTTTACCAAGCCTTGATTCACCCAATTTGGTTCAAGCTTGGACTTGTAAGCGGCAAATAGTTGGTCTGATTCATCGGCCATGGCGCAATGCTCAGTTGGCTAGTTTGTTCAAAGACACCGCGGGTTCGAAATTAATGTCTTCAGGCAGGACCAATTGCCGTGAAATCTGAAGGAGAGAGAGAAAGGTAAGAGGGATTGTCAAAGGCTTAGTTGCCACGTCCAGGCATGAATTGAGCCATTCGGCGATGCGCTCTAACAACATGTAATATAGTGCCATGAAACAGCCTGATTTTCATGAGCGGGTGGAAGCGGGATGACCTGGCATTCAAGCAGGCTGCATGCGGCTAATAATAAGTAGGCAGCAGCCATCCAGTGGAACGGGGTAAACGTATTATGGATGTGACCATCTGACGCGGAGTCGGTACCCGATCATTCTCACTGCATGCTCGTAAAGAACATACCTCGTGAAAATATGCCTCGTGAGCCTGTCCGGCACTCTGCACTGAAGTTATGTAAACGCTTCCGACCGTGGACCTATGACCAAATGTTTTGTTGAGTTCCGAGTCACTTCTGCAATCCAAATAGCTGCAGAAACCAAACCTGTTTTTCACGTCCCCAATCACAATGACGACGCTTCAAAAGCGGACATCCATTCCCCTAGCCTTACCGACTTCACTACCCTCAAAATCAGAGCGATTGCAGTCGCTAGCTATTAGGCAAGACCGCTGGACCAAATACACCATCCCGAATGTCGACGCCGAAGCCGTTTGTCGCGCAGTGACTCTGCACAAAGCTTTCGAGTTACAAGAGGGCTACGTTATCCCGGATCTTCCGAAGTTTAGCGACCTTACCACATATGGGGATCTCAAGGAAGAAGATGATGACGAGCTCTGTGAGTTGGAAGCGCGTCGATTGGTTCAAATCGCGAATTCAGAGACTGCTATCAAATTTGAGGGCAGTGACAGCATGCTTGGACCAGCCGACGCCAAAGGGTATTTTAGACTCCATTGGCTGGGCCAACGTCTGATTCAATCTCTGCACATCTGCAAACATGACGCGCTTGTGGTCATGGTTGAACACATCGACCGAAACTTGCGTGGTTATGCTGGCACACAAGAACGCCTGTTGGCATACTTCGACCCTGCTACAGGGGACGAGCGGTTCTCAGGGCCCCTTCTACTCCAAGGAGAAGAGTATCAACGTTATTTCCACGCAATGGTTAACTATCTCACTGCGGTACTCGTCAAGATCGTTCTTCAGAGCTTCAGGGGCACCTATTGGATCAACAACATCATCGCCGTAATTGCGCGAATATCAGCGAAAATGAAAGTCGTCGGACATGATCTCCCTGCGGCGACGGAACAGACACTGCAGAATGGCAGCGATGCACGATCGCGCATCCAAAAACGGGAGGCAAAGAATGCTGCCTATTACGCAAATAATTCAGGTCTTGGATTTAACAGAAACTATAAGGCTGCTCCGCCTCTTCCAAACCGTGCTGGATATGCGACCAAGTACTTCTCGGAAATGGATCTCTTGCACAACGCCGTCGTCCAAATGTTGATCGACTCGCTGAGCGCATTTGCCGTCAGCAACCATTTGGCTCCTGGAGTTGACGAGTTTGAAAGTAGTATCGCGCTGTACGAGTCTTTCATCACTTCAGAACAGATTCTTCTTTGCGAACAGCGAGACGGTGGCATTGGTGCGGCTAGCGAAACGGGTGTCACACGTGCCTTTACAGCTGGTTTCGAAGTCTGCCTCAGGACATGGGAGGCTCTCAAGAAGGACCCTACATGTCATACAAATGTCAGCTGGACATCGCTCAAATGGAGGTGCTCTTACGTGGATGACGAGGGTGAACTAAGGCCCAAGAGTCGAAAGGGCGCGGTCAAATTGGGGTCCATGACGAGGGTCATTACAGCAACCGTACCTTACGCCATGAGCTCAGGCACTTTCAGTGCTTCTCTTCATAACCTCATCGACAAAATCCTCTTCAGCTCCGGCAAAGACAACCGTTTTGCATTGCTCCTGGTGGAGCAGCCCAAAATGATCTGTACCGCGATTTTACGGACCAGCCAGTACGAGTCTCGGCGGCCAAACGAAAGAGAAAACAGCGATGCTTGTCCTGTTTCCGAGACTTTCTTGCTCCAAAAAAGGGCGGTTGGCCATAATGAGAATGGGAGTTCTTCTGACACTTACGCCCAAACGCTAAGCTGGGCCGTGAAGAGCCCGAATAAGACGGTGACATTGAGCGACCGGGAACAAGCCAAAAGGAACCTTGAAGCGGTGAAGAACAAATACTTCAAATGGGTCACTGACGCCAATGCCATTGTCATCTCCTGCAAATGGTATACTTGGGGTTCTCTCGTCGGCTGCGCCATTCTCGTCCTTGGCGGGCTTGCAGTCGGTTTCACAGTGGGCGATCGAATTCACGGTGTTGACCCATTCAATATTAGTGTGTTTTGCTGGGTTCTCGCTGGATTCATCTTGATTGTTGCAAAGGCTTTTCTCGTGGAGAACTGGCCGTGGAGTCATTTCCTGAGAGGGCAAGTTACTTGCCGTTCTGTGGGAGAAGTCGTGGCTGTCAGCGGCGTCGACGAACAATTACTCATTGCGCTTTTGCTCAGGATCGACAGCCAAATCTACCTTCGAACCAGAGGACCATTTGACATCCTGTTTCTTCGCCACACTGATGACATACAAGGCGGGTTCTCCATCGACGCACCGATCAAGATGTCAACCGCCGTCGAAGGAGGTTTGATACCAATTAAAATCCTTGCAGATTGGGGCATTGGGTTGATCTTCCTCTCTGCGCGATCCTGGTCATCCTACAATGTTATTTCTAGCTCCCAGAATTTTGAAGAAGAACTTGTATGCAAAGATATAACTCATCCGGCTTCGTGGGTGGATGGCAAGATTCCTTGTTATAGAATTAGATGGGAAGAGGTATACATTCACCAGGTCTTAGGGGTTTTTGAGCAAGAATGCTATTTCTACTGAGTGGATCTCATGTATGAGCACTGGGTTTGCAAAGCCCGGCCATTAGCCAGTTGAAGAACAAGTTCAAGATCGAAATTGAACCAATCACATTCTTCTGGACGCAACTTCACAAGGCGAAAGGCCCCAGCTTGAGAACTTCAAAGGTCCTCTCTTCCCAAGTGACCCGCGCGGCAACGCCAACCCCAGATTCCGTTCCATTGAGCCTGGGGTCTGTTAGCTTAGACCAGGATTCCGTGACCAGGCCAACCCGGAGGTTCAACCGGCGAACGGGACTAATCAAAGCTTAAACGACGTCGGGGCTCCACCGACACCGCAAACGCCGGCTTTCTCGAGTTGTCAAGGTTTCCGTGTTAATTAAATCAATTTTATGGCACCAGGCGCCCGGTATGGCCGGAACGGCGAAGGCAACGTCGGCAACATTTGCACTCGAAGCGTCAACATCACGTCAAGGCACGGCCTACGAGTCTCGGGGCGAGTATTCCCGCGTTCGATATGTTTGCAAAAGTCAATCAACCCCGGCACGGATTCGTCGGGCCCGTAGGTCACCGGGAATGATTATAAGAAGATGCGCTTCCCTGAGTGAAGCTAGAGTTTTGAGGTTTTCTCTGTAGATGTCTTTGAGGCATCATACGTTAACATATCCCTTCCAAACATAATAATACTTAATCCAGTCTCTCTGACAGTCCACTCATTCCCAATCAATAATCACTCTCTCATTTTTATTATACTATACCTCAAATCTCACGATGAGGATCTCCCGCATCGCCTCGCCCTGGGCGCTACTCCTTCCCTCCGCCCTGGCAACCCCCTACGCCGTGGACGCAACTGAAGTTGATCTCGCCATCATCGGAGGCGGCTCCGCCGGCATCCATGCCGCGATCAACCTCAAGGACGCCGGTGCAAAGGTCGTTGTGATCGAAAAGAAGTCTCAGATCGGCGGCCACGCCGAGACTTACATCAACCCCCAGACCAAGGTCCCCGCCAACATCGGCGTCGTCGTCTTCGAGAACCGCGAGGTTGTGAGCAATTACTTTTCCCGCCTCAACGTCTCCACCGTCAACACGAACCCCCTCACCGCGCAGTCCGGCACCACCCAGAGCTACGACTTCTCCCTCGGCATCCCGATCCCCGCGCAAAACGCCTCGGCGACCGCGGCGCAGCAGCAGGCCCTCCAGGCCGCCGCGCAGGCGTACTCGACAAACATCCTGTCAAAGTACCCCTGGATCGACCAGGGCTTCCTCGTCCCTGACCCCGTCCCCGAGGAGCTCACTGTTCCCTTCGGCGAGCTGGCGCAGAAGTACGGCTTCTCCGCCCTCCTGCCCGTCATCGCGCAGTTCAACTGGTGGACCGGCGATATTTCCGCCATCCCCTCCCTCTACGGCATCAAGGGCCTCGGCCCGGGCCTGCTTGCCAGCCTCTTTGGCGAGTTTATCGTCTCCGGCACCGGCGACACGCGTAGCCTCTACGATGCCGCGGCCAAGGTGCTCGGCGACGACGTCATCCTCGACTCGACCATCGTGAAGGTGAAGCGCGGAGCCTCCGGCGTCTCCGTGCTCGTCCACCAACCTGATCAGCCCCCTAAGCTCATCCGCGCCCGCAAGCTGCTCATCGCCGCTCCCCCCACCCTTGACAACGTCGGCCAGTTCGACCTGTCCTCTCACGAGAGGAACCTCTTCTCCAAGTTCTCCGCCCTGGGCTACTGGGCTGGCGTCGCCACGATCCAGGGCCTCAACAGCAGCCTGCAAAACGTCGGCGCCACCACGCCCTTCAACCAGCCCGCCATCCCCGGCACCAACGGCCTCTACACCGCGGGATCCCCGGGCGACTTCCTCGTCGCCGTCGGCTTCAACGACACCAACTACTCCGACGAGGACGGCAAGAATGTCATCCGTAAGAACCTGGCGACCCTGGCCGCCGTCGGCGCCGTGCCCAAGGACGCGGCCGAGACGGTGACCTTCCCGTACTACTCCAACCACGCGCCGTACAACGTGCGCGTCTCCGCGGACCAGATCAAGCAGGGTTTCTACGCGAAGCTCCTGGCGTTGGAGGGCGCGAGGAACACGTACTGGGCTGGCGCGGCATTCTCGGGACACAACAGCGCGCTGGTTTGGTCGTTCAACGAGGGCACTGTGCTGCCAGGGCTGAAGAAGGATCTGGGTCTGTAGGGTCTTGGAAAGACTAGTAGTCTGTAGATTACAGCCTATAAAGCCATATAGACTTACACGCTTAAAAATATGCGCCGAGTGCCCTTTGTTCACCACAGTGTATTGGATGGCTTCGAGTGTCACCGATAAGGAGAGTTTTCTTCTGAAATGTTCCAAAATTCCTGTGTTAGAGATTCCAAACATTAAAGTTGCCGATTTGGCTTTTGGGCTTCCGTCCTTTTCTACCTGGCCCTGCGGAGAACTGGTACAATTCGCAGAGAGCTCATAAATCAGCAACACAAGCTCTACAATAAGACGAAAATAACCCCATAGTTGACTATTTAGGACTATCTAGCAACTGCCATGGACAAAAAAGCAGAGCCAAAGTAAAGTACATGGCTCTGTTGTCATGGCAGCATCTGTTTGGGAATTTCGGAACAACAACTGTGAATCACCATGGACATACGCAGTTTTATCTCAGCTTACTTCTGAATATATAACTTCCAGTCGGTCAACAATGAGAGTGCTTCGATTCTGCGCCAACTTGTTGCCACACACTACACTCTGAGAGCGCGGCCCCATCTCCAAACTCAGAAGACTATCTATATAATGACGTAATTTAAGATTCTGAGTTCTAGTTTGCATGGGTTAGGTCAACATACAGTCTGAGGACGTTTACTAAGTCTGAAGCGATCGGAAAGTTCCAGGTCAACCCACAACAGTCCATCAACAAATGTCAACTAGGCACTACGTTAGCCACGTTCTCAGTCGTCATTCATTACATTTTGGAGCATTGAATCGAGTGGTCGATGAGTTTATTGAGTTTCGAGTGTTTGCGCATACTCTAGCCAAAGCGAAGCTGATCGACACTATTTTCCCACTCTTTCATCTACCGGTTTATCTTCCAGAGCCAATCCCCCAACTATTGACGTCCCACATCTAGCAACAGTGGTTGTCAAACGACCGGTCGACATCTCATTCAGTGCATCTAGCAGCTCTTCCAGATGCACTGAGGGCAGTTGGAGTAGCAGAATCCACCACATCCCTTGCGACCATCAGGGCAGGTGCAGCAAGTGCCGCGCGACTCGAGGCCACCGGCGCCACCTTCGCCAACGTCAACGGACGTATCGATTCCCTTGGGAGATGCCATGGAGACACCGGCGAAGAGAGTGATAGCGGCGAGAACGGCGGAGACCTTCATTGTGGACTTTAAGGGTTGGTTAAATTTTGAGAGCGGCGTCATTCGGATAAACAGGATTCTTACTTTTGAAGTAGCGTCTTTGGCGAATAAATAGAGACTGAGATAGATTTGAAGAGTCTGAGCAGTTGATGTCAGCGTCTTGGGACTGGTTACTGAAATGGATGAGATGTACCTTGATAGTCAAGTTACAAGTGTAAGACAAGTCACAAGAGGCTTGATGATGAGAGAAGTTCTATGGTCAACGGCGACGTTTGGCTCTTGAATAGGTTTCTGTCGTAGACTCTCACGGCGTCTTGATCAGAATCCTCGGCAGCTGAGCCAATCTATCTGCGCCATTCAATGCCTCAACTCTACATCGATGTGGGAGAGTATCACGAGTTGTGGATCATGGCTTAGGTTGTCCTTCTGCCTGACTATAGTGGAGGCGAGAGTTGAGATTCTTGCGGGGAAGTAGAAGATAGTATGAACTTTGCATACATGTAGGCAAGGCTTCGATTTGTGGATTCGGAGTGGGGGATAGGACGACTTACCCCATGCCAAAGTTCTCAATATTTCCGCGGACACGGTACGCTAGCACAGGGGTCAATTTTACTTTCAACCAAAAGACGAACACGACCCTTTGCCGGGTATTTTTGAAAAAGCATGTTCGAGACTTGAGTGTTGCATCTCCGGCGCGGTGTCGCGGGTACAGTCAAACGACCAAAACGTCAGCACCTGAGATACAACTTCCGTCGTACCACGTTCAGCATCAGTAGTGCCGGCACGGCAAGCCCATGACGCCAGACTTCTCGTATACAGTCATTCCCTGTTATTTTTCATATCTTTCCGTTTAGCAGTAAAAAGCCGGAGTGCTCCGTGTAGCCGGGCACGTGTGGACCCTAACGGCAGTTTTACTCATCTACTATCATATTACGGGCACTTGCGATCGAACATCTTAGCTCGCTCGGTCAATTTACGAAATGGCAGACGTGCGCTAGACACGTCATCATTCATCCTGAAAGCATTCTCGATAAGTTTGTCGGCATCATGGACGGGAGACTCGTGTTTTGAAGTTCATATGCTGCACTTCCTCTGTCTAAGTCCAAGCAGCATCTTCCTTCTTGTCATCGCCGACGCCGCCGACACCGCCGACTCTACAATCTCGGCGGAATTCGTCAATCCTTGAGTCACGGCGCACCAAGACCAAGTGCCGACCTTAAATTGAACGGAAAGGGGCCGAACTCACCAATTCCGACAAAAATGACTTTCTCGGCAACTTACAACGCCTTGCCCGAGGAGGAGCACCAAGCCGATAACGAATTTGACGCAAGCCGTCAAGCCGCCTGCGTGACCCGTTTAGAAGCAAGAGTAGCCCGCTTGAAAATAGCTCTATGGCTCTCGGTCTTCACTCTAGTTGCGGTAATTGTCTTTAAGGCCATTCACTTGCAGCAGGACATTCAACGCCATGGAAGACGACCAGATGCTCTCTACAAATCACCGACAGTCTCAGAAGCACGACTGTCAAAATGCAAGTCTCTCCTCCCTTTCAACAAGAAACGGTACAACCTCAAGTGCTTACCCGTTACTTTAGGGCGTCTGATCGCCATGACGTTTGCCCGCGATGCTGCCTTTGATGGACCACCTTCAGAGCAGAGCGCCGAAGCCTGGAATAGCCTGATACCTGGTATGTATGCCCCTGATATCTTGTGCTATGTGCAGGTCTACGAGAAGTCAAGACTGACAAGAGAAAAACCAATTTCAGTCGGCCGCGGCTTTGTCAAACCAAACGATTCCAGAATATCTGCCTTCCACCAGCTCCATTGCCTGGTAATCTCCAAATCTCCCATACGCTGACATTTCAATGGTGCAAACAGAGTTCTAATGTGCTGCAGTACATGATCAGAGAAGGCTGTGACGCCCTGGCCGTAAACGGAGCCCTCATGGGAGCGACGCGTCACCAGAAAGCCGCGCGTGGAACCACACACAGGACGGCCATCTGGACCATTGCTTCGACTACTTGCGACAGTCTCTGATGTGCTTCGCGGACCCTACCTTGGAAGAGTCGCCTGTAGATAAAGAGCCAGGATGGAACGTGACACATGTATGCAATGATTGGGACAGGTTGTTTGACTGGGCAAAGACAAACCGTTACGATGACGCCGTTAATTTTGATGCAGGAGTCTAGGCAAGGGTTTAGAACACATACACAAGAATTTTAGACAATTGCGTGGAGAATTTGGATGCAATATTGTACAGTTTGATCAGGAAGCCGTCGGTTTTGGGGGCACCGCCGTTGCGGCTGCTCCACGTCCAGTAGCGGCCTCCTTCATCAGAGAGGTTGACGTAGTCGTCAGTGTCCAGAGTAGAAGTCGAAGACACGAAAGGGAACAACTTGGGTTTGCCCTAGTTGCAGAGCTTCATGATGTCAATGGTGGACAAAATTTTGGGGACTTTCTTGGCTTTGAGACCGGGAATCAGAATCGAACATTGCGTGGCAATAGCATTCTCAGCTTCGACAGGGCCTCTCTGCTTTAATATTATTGGAAGATGAATCAATTCATGGGTTTCAATTCTGCTGCACTCTCTATCATACACACTGTCTCTGTTGCCCTGCTAAAATCCACGAAAGCTTGTAACATTGCGACCTGCAGTGCTCGAGGTACAAGATTGCTGAGGTGCCCCGCCGTCACCATCAGCAAATTTTGCTTCTTCCGCGCTCAGAGAAGCTGATGCCTTCCTCGTAGGGCAAATGGAATCCATATGGGATGACCTTGAAATCTACTTCAGCTGCCTCAAAGGCTTTCGTCAAGTCACTTGACGCATTGCCAACATCAAATTCGAAGATTGGGGATTTGACAGCCACCTTGCGAAGATTGGGAAGCCTGTCTGCCAGGAGGGATGATCGTAGGCGAAGGAGCATCTCCGCAAACGGCTCGGCAACGGCATCAGTATTGTCTTGGGGGTGGAGAACATAGTCGTCCGGTGCCCGTACTTCATAACGCATGCAATATAGAAATCTCGGGTCTCTGTACCACATGTCGTAGATCGTCAGGTTCTCAATATTCGGAGGGAGGCGACCGGAAACGTCTGCCAAAGCCATGTCTTCCAGACTTTTGAACAGACAAGGGACGTCTGCTTGCAAATTGACCAAGTTGTGCATCTTGGAAAGCCAGGAACGTCCTGGTTCGTCTTCGAAGAAGAGCAAATGATTGCCCTTTGTCCGCAAGATGAGAGTGCCGAGTTGTGGACATGACGTCGTGATTGCTGTCGAAATGCGAGCTGTTTCCGTTCCATAGCTGATTCCATCACGAGGGTTTGGGCAATCCATCACTATCTCGAGCTTCTTGAGGTCAGGACAACGCTCTAACAGGGAGCATAAAGCGGAGCCAGTCTTGGTCTCCTGGTAGAGAGAGAGTTCCTGGAGAGCCAGAGGCGCAGCCCGGCCAGTTTCGCTGAGTGATGCCCACTGACTGGAGTCAGAGTAGGAAGTGAATGATGTAAGGGTCGGCAATGCGAGCAATCCGGGTACGGGGAACCTGGAAAACCTGGTGAGGCTAGGCGGCCATTCAAAGAAACGGTAGACATTTCCGTGGATCTCCAACCGTTGCAAGCGAGTGAGGACTTTGTGCTTGAAGTTCTCGGTTCGGTCGGGACTGCCAGCGTCGTTGCCAGCGTCGTTGCCACCGTAAGTAGAATGGAAAGCTGAGATGAAGCGATCGATACCACTGGGGCTTTCGCGATTGATTCGGGGAGGAGAATAGAGGTCCGCACGTCTCTCGTCGACAGGATGAGTGCGATCGCGGTCATCGAACCCTATCGTCAGATGCTCAAGCCGGGTAGTCAAAGACAACATGAGGCCAGCGAAAATCTCGAAAGATTCCTCAACGTCATCTTCAGTGAATGCGCCGGTCTGCTGCTCCTTAACACCGCAGTGCTCGAGAGCGCCGAGGAGGAATGTGGGTATCTTGTTGAGGTCGATCTTCTCGTAGATGGTGTGAACGCCATCGTAGGCCTCTCTCTCACGATTCAGAGCAAACCCGAGACAAAGACCTCTAACGTAGGTACAGAATCGGGGTTTCTCGATGAATGATCGCAAGAGTAATCCCATTTGCTTGCCCTTGGTCAAGTATATGTCGGAGAACAGCTGTTTCTGGCTGGGGTGTCGAAGGGCTCGACAGGTACGGGAGAGTGCCGTGATAGCCAGCCTGGTGGTGCTCCGGAAGAGAGCAATGGACTTTGGTCCCGCAGGTTGAATATTGAAAGTCGGCAATCTGGGGTCGGGGGGGAATGCTCTCAGAATCTCCAAGATGATTTCGCCGGGGAGGCCGAGGAGGAAAGGTCGCCATGATCGATCAACGGTGCTGTCGGAAGTCCTCATGTTTGAAAAAGTGCTGCAAGCCGGCTTTTCGACCTGAGTGATGCGGTGGTCCGCAGCCTTTCTTGTTGATGAGTCGCTGTCGGGGATGTCGGTGTGTGAGGAACCACCGCGGTGGACATGGTCGTTTGGGGTGTCATCACCGTGGGCATCGTTTCTGCCGATGTCACCGGGAGGCATTTGCGGTGATGTGGGGGAGTTCACCATCTCGATGAAGGGTATTCGGTGCTCGCACCTTGCCGTGGCTCGCGCCTGAGGAAGTATGGACGATGTGGTGTGGTTGAAAGCGAGAGAAGGGAAAGAAAAGTACGGTGGACGGTAGCTCTCGTAATGAGGGCACCTCTCGCTCTCCTCAATGGAAGGGGTGAAAACTTCTGCTTCTCCCAGCCCCAAGAACACCAAATGCCATCAAAAGCAAGAGCAAAAAGCGTCTAGGTAGGAAGGAAGGACGGGTAGCCGCTGTGCCTACCCCCGTTTGCAGCTTCCTGACACCAGAGTCTGCGCTGAGCGCGGGCGAAATTCCGATAAACATTTCATCGTTGCTCTAATCACCGAAGTCTCAATGAAGCTCAGTAGGTAGCACCTTCTCATCTTCTTGGTCATGCACACAATGAGGTGGTGAAGATGTCTGCACCACCTCACACTGCTTGTCCCCTCCTAGAACCCCACCATTTGGGGCGCCACACGGCAAGGGATGTGGCTGGTCGCGGCTGCTGCACGGGCCTGGGGCGGTGCTTGGTGGCTGTTGCCTCGACAACGCGCCACAGAAGCCCCCTGACTCCTTCTGTTATCGTTATCGGGATCAACATCACAACACTAAACATCCATTTCAATCCCTCCTCCTCCACTGCCGAAAACAATCTCCCGACTGCAACTCCTCAGCACCCAACTAATCCGGAGACTCGCGGGCCACCTGCCGCGACGATACTAACCATGGCAGCCTCCGACGACCTCATCAACTTCGACATCATCGAAGCGCAAAAAGAAAACATTCAAGCGCTGCCGAGCGGACGCTCCGCCAAAAAGTTGGCCGAGCTGTTCTCATCTTCTCCCCTGCACAAGCTCGACACCCCTACGCCGTCAGACACCCAGAACGTGAATGACTGCATCCGTGCCGAGTATGAGGCAGAGATTGAGAACATCTCCGAGTCAGACGACCCCCTCGATATCTTCGACCGCTACGTCCGTTGGACCCTCGACGCATACCCCTCAGCGCAAGCCACACCGGCGTCGCAGCTTCACAGCATCCTCGAGCGCGCCACCAAGGCCTTCGTCAACTCAGCACAGTACAAGAACGACCCTAGGTATCTCAAGCTCTGGGTTCTCTACATTCAGTTCTTCAGCGACTCGCCCCGCGAAACATTCCTGTTCCTCTCGCGACACAACATCGGCGAGACACTGGCCTTGTTCTACGAAGAATACGCTGCCTGGCTTGAGGGAGCGGGCAGATGGAACCAAGCTGAGGAGGTCTACAAGCTGGGCATTGAGCGCGAAGCAAGACCAGTCCAGCGCTTGATGCGCAAGTTCAAGGAGTTCGAGGAGAGACTCGCCCAACAACCAGAGGAAGTCGTCAGACCCTCCTCGCCAGCACTGCCCACCATGCGACCGGCGCTGGCCGCCAAGATCGACCCATTCGCTGCTGCCCGCGCAGCTGCTGCAGACCCCCAGGCACCCCGCCCGAACCAGGGCGTCGGCGGCCCTGCCTCCAAGCCTGGCAAGGCGAAGATGGCCATTTTCTCAGACGCTGATGCCGCCCCTCCGGCACTGTCTGCGCGTGAATCTGGATCCAAGGGCTGGGATTCCATCGGCTCGTTGGCCGACCGCAAGAAGGAGAACGTGATGGAGCCCAAGCCGTGGGCGGGCGAGACGTTGAAGGCGGGTGGAAAAAAGAGCACTGCTCCCAAGATGGCGATTTTCAGGGATACGGTATGTCCTACGTTCACTTTTACCTCCCAATGCCCAGATGTTGATGATTATAGGACTAATGGGTGGCCTTGGCGTTTTTTGTATTTCAGTCTAAGTTGCAGCCGAGAGCGCAACCTCAATCACGATCACAATCACGAGCACAGATGTCAAAGTCTCATATCACTCTTGTGCCTGCCAAGAATCAGATAGTAGTGAATCCTGTTAGTGGCAAGAAGGAGCGCATCTTCATCAACTTGGAGGCTGTTTACCCTACTCCAGAGGAGCCTGGCTCTGAGCTGGCTTTTGAGGAGATTTGGGCAATGAACAGAGGCTGGCTGGGCCGCAACTGGGATGAAGAGCCTCTGGATGAGAGCGCCATTCCTGAAATGATGAGTGCCGAGACTTCGGCAGTTGATAACCTAGGTCACATGATGCAGGAGAAGTTGGCAGTCCACACAGAGTCTGTGATGATGGACGAGAACGGCGCCATCATCAAGCCGAAGGGGAAGAGCAAGAAGAAGAAGGTGATGGAGGTTAATGAGACACAAATTAGTAAGTCGGCTTTGAGACATGAATTGCACCTGATTGCTAACGCCTCATCAGTCAAGGCGAACCTGGACTCACCCTCCAGGCCGAAGCTCAAGAAGAGGAATACCTCTGAACCAACAATGACCATCCATACCAGGGCTGCGACAGACGAGATTTACGAGATCTTCAACCAGCCCATTCAGTCTGCGCCCCAGGAGGAAGAGGAGGAAGAGGAAGAGGATAGCGATGATGACGATTACGAAACAGACGGCGATTACACCGAAGCAGAAAGCACCATTACCACCCGCCAAGTCGATATGGACGACGATGGAGAGGAAAATGACGACGCTTCGGATGCGAAGAGTATCAGTGAATGGTCCGACTTCTCGACGCGGAAGCATGTGCCAGACCTCAATGGCGACGTCACAGAGGCCGACGGAGACAACACGCAAGTCTCTGATCTCATGGACCCCAACTATGTCGAGCCGTCTGAACCCTTGGCCGATGATCACACGAGTTCTCGTGAGGCAGGAGAGTCGGACCCTGAGGAAGAAGAGGAAGACGATGGAGACTATCCGCCCAGGACGAAGACTATGTTCGTCCCGATACCGCCTGAGGATTATGAGCCAAGGACACGACCGTTTAGAGATGCGGCGGAGGTGGCTAACAATCGACTTCCCTTCATGACCCCCATTACTGAGAGAACAGAGTCTTCGCTAGCGTTCACCGAACGTAAAGCAAGATATGAGACTCCTAGTCGAGACGACGCCGCCTCGACCATCGACGAAGAGGAGGACGATGACATGCAGGATCCTCCCAGCAGTCCCTTGCAGGAAGTGAGCACTTTCAGCCCCGTCAAGATCCCACAGCCTCTTCTTGGAAAGCCAAAGACCTCCGCAAAACCGGTGCCTCAGAAGGGCCCCATCATCAAGGAGCTCCAATGCAACCCCGTCGACGACGCAGTCAGAAACGAGATTCTTGAGAACATGCAGCCTCCTCTGAGCTCATACCCTGGGTTTTATGACCACCGCAATGAGAAGTACGAGAAGGGTAACGACATCCGCAAATTTGCCAAGGCCATGGCCAAGGCAGCCAGGGGAGAGCGAATGAGCAATGCCTGCGCCTTAGTCACTATTGATTTCCCAGACGTCTCAACCCAGTACACCATTAGGAAGGAACTGGGGGCAGGCGCATTCGCCCCTGTTTACCTCGTTGAAAACTCCTCTGCCGAAGAAGAAGACGAAGACGGCGTCGTCGCCATGGGCAAGGGAGCATTCGCCGTCAACCACCGCACCGCCTTGGAGGCGCTCAAGATGGAACTTCCCCCGTCACCTTGGGAATTCCACGTGATGCGCCTCGCTCACACCCGCCTCGGTCCCCAGCACCGTGCGGCCGCCTCCCTCTCATACGCCCACGAATTCCATCTCTACCAAGATGAGGGCTTCCTATTCCTTCCCTTCCACCCCCACGGCAGCCTTCTCGACGTGGTGAACTTCTTCCGTGCGGAGCCATCAGCCGTTATGGACGAGCAGCTCGCCATGTTCTTCACCATTGAACTCTTCCGCACTGTTGAGGCGCTCCACGCTCGCGGCGTCCTCCACGGCGACCTCAAAGCCGACAACTGCCTCCTCCGCCTCGACGGCACCAGCACCAACAACACCCTCGACACCCAATACCATGCCGACGGCACCGGCGGCTGGGACGCTCGCGGCGTGACCCTCATCGACTTCGGCCGCGGCATCGACATGCGCAACTTCGAGCCCGACGTCGGCTTCATTGCCGACTGGAAGACCAGCGCCCAGGACTGTGCCGAAATGCGTGAGGGCCGGCCCTGGACGTGGCAGATTGACTATCACGGCCTTGCTGGCATTGTTCACTGCCTCCTCTTCGGAAAGTATATCGACGCCGTCCGCTGCGATCAAGGTGGCATCGGCTCTGGGCGCAAGTACCGTGTGCGCGAGAGTCTCAAGCGGTACTGGCAGACGGACATTTGGGGCGAGTGTTTCGACGTCCTGCTGAACCCCGGGTCCTTCGTTGCCACGGAGGAGAATGCCAAGATGCCGGTGTTGAAGAGCATGCGTGGTGTCAGGGAGAAGATGGAAGCGTGGCTCGAAGACAACTGTGAGAGGGGTGTCGGCTTGAAGAGTCTTGTTGGCAAGGTCGAGGCCTTCGCCAAGGGGCGGCGATGAGACTTGTCATGATGTTTGATGATGGACTTGCTGGCGTTTCTTAGAGGGTTGGAGAGGGTTGTATATTGTCGTTTTTGAACTATACCACTGTGCGCTTTGTTTTTTATGACATTAATATTATTTATTCGATATGCAATGCATCTACTGGTAAACCAGACTGTTGTCGAAGTGTCACGTTAGGGTGTGGTAGTACGCGTGTCCCATATGCGACAACAGCAGCGTGGGGAAGGATCAGAGGCCTATGGCATATGCTGAGAGATGGGTGAAGTACTTAAACGCCCACCACTGAGAGAAGAGATGGCAGGCCCCGGACAAATGCGGCGCGGACCAGAGCTCGTTGTCGTCTCTCAAGCCCTGCTTTGTGGGTTTTCTCAACTCCTACCAGTGCTCCGCCCCAAGCATGTTTATTGCGACTTAAAATCGTGTGCACTTTTCTAAGCTGGGAATACATCAGAGTAGGGGCATGATGGACGATGAGAACCAAGGGCGATACGTCTTCCTGGGTGGAAGTACTGTTGATGGGTTCGAATCCAATTCTCCTGAAACTGGAATCTGCATCATGCGGCAAGCTCGGGGCTCCGCGATTTCCTCATTTCGTATTCGCTGCGCAAATCATCTCCAGTCTCTGCATTTTGTGTCTTCGTACTTGAGAGATTGCGTGTTGGGAGGAGAGCTTTTATATGGTTGATCGATACGTCCATACAAATCCACGGATTAGCGGTGGGTTTGTGGAGATAGCGAGGACCGCAATCCGTCAGAATCATTACGTATTATCTGATGAAGGTTAGAGATACGGGAATCCCAAGACTCAACCATAAAAACCATATAGATTATCTCGCATAAGTGGAGGATTAGGCCTAACGTAGACGCTTAGGCTCAACCGAATTCCGAATACTTGGGTGACCGTGACGGATAGCCGTGATAACAAATGGCAAAAGTACCGTTTGGCTTGAGCCCTCGATTTCTGACTGCGTATCTTATCGTGAATATCTTCTTATGGTCTGGGAAATACGTTAAGGCGATGTGCTTCATGTTACTGTGTACGCTTTGGTCCGACTTTTCCATCGTCCCGACTCGGCCGATTGTGCGGTGGAAGATATGATGTGTCCGCAGTTAAGTCCACTTTAAAGACATTCACTCTTACTTAGGTCACTCGCGCGCCTGAAGAACACAAAGCTGCAGCCGTTCTATATATTAGGTGAAGGTCTGTGTAGTGTCCGATGAGCTGCTCTCTTCACAATTCGTTGTTGTGAATCATGATCGAACACGCCTGGTATGTAGTAGCTGGTCATCAGTTACTTAACTTTCTTTGGGGCATTGCTGATGGTCTGTCCGTAGGAACGAAACTCCAAGATTTTCTTGCTGCTATCAGGCGAATACATGTTCAAATACTTCAGACACGAGAATGAGGGACGGAGTCGAAATACGCTTGGTCTCAGAGATTCAAAATGACTTGAACATACACACAAGTCACTGACTTATTGTGCTTGATGTTCTGTGCTGACTCCTGTCTTCGCTACAGATCCTTGGATGGACCGATTTGTTGCTTTCTGGCACCCTTGAATAGCGACTGAGAAGGTATTTATAGCCTTACAGACCCTCTTGCGATACACGCCTCTTGAGCAGCCACGATTCTGAACGACGCCAGACTCATATCAAACGATCTTGCACTTAAACGGCTTTTTTGCCGGAAAACCATCTCAACGCGCGTGTGGTTTAAGGCTACAACTATTCTCGTAGATGATCGGTGTATTATCAACCAGAATCACCTCATTAATACTAAGAGAATGAAGGAAAGCGGTAGATACGATGTAAGGTACGCATGTTGCATCTCTCTGGAGACATGATGCAGAAGCTGAAAGACCTTGATCTTTTGTCCCTGATAATGAGAGAAGACAGAATTGAGATGAGATTCTCATTGTTGCGGCTGAGAAGAGTACAATGGTGAGGACCCGGTCTTTCATATAGGACTGGTTTCATACGAATTCATACAGACCGATTACATGTTTGATTTAGAATTGTATGTAGTCGAACATGTGAGCGAAACGAAGCCGTCCGGAGCTCAAGTCACAGTCTAGACTGAGCGAACCATGTGAAATGATGACCAAATAGTTCACAGAGGTGTTATGCTTCTTGTATGCTTCTTATCAGAAAGAAGACGCCAGGAGTGTCTTCTCATAAGCCAACGGCCGTGTTTTTAACGGCAGACGTTGCTTGATTGTCTGACTACACGTGACGGGCTCTGGATCCGAATGTATAAGGCTCCGTCCCTGATTACACTGGAGTATTTGGGCACGGCAGGTCTCAGCAGTCTTACATGTAGGAGCTAATACCGCTCGCAACGTAGGACTGCCTGTGCCAATGCAGATACGGGAATGCTGTGTTGGGCTCGAAACAGTTTCTGCTGAAGAGCGAAGTTGCACGGCTGTGGCGAAGAGAATCCCCCGGCTAGGTGCCGTCAATGTGGAACGCTGTACTGCGCAAGTGTAAGCAATGTTCCAGACAATACGTTACAGACTTCGGCCGATCCATCTTTGGGCGGTGGCTTGTGTGACCAGCTGGTGTGTTGTCCATCGGCTGAGCTCCCTCAAATATTCCCAGAGCCCAGCTTCTCGACACGGTGATGCGTGTAATCTAGGATAAAGTGCCGTGGCTGGGCTAGACTTGTCATACCTTTTACCAGTATTCTATAAGATAAAAGGCGTCTTTAGCCTCCTGTCCCCCCTTAATTCATGGTCCTGTTCGCACTCGATGTACGCCAAGAATTATCCCGCTTCCTAAGTTAGTCCAAAGCTCTTCTATGCATCTACAGCCTTCAGACCATCTTCTCCACACTAGCCGCAAAGCTTCCTCATCACCGACCGAATCGCCAGGACTTGATAGAAATACTATGCCGCAAACTGCTCCACCGTCTCGCTCTGAAGCGCCTCCTGACCGTGGCGATGATGCTGATGAAAGTCTTCTTTCCGCCAGCGAGGGGCGCATTAGACAACGACGACAAAACTTCTGGCTTCGAAGAAGTGTTTTGATAGCCTTTTCTTTCTTATTCATCGCCTGCACCGTAGCACTGATTGGCGTATCTCGGCATGCAACGGCACAAGATGGGCTCCCGCTCTCACTGTCTTCGAGCAGCTATTCATGGAACTACGGACCTACTGGAGTGCTCGTAGTCATACTTGCACTTTGGCGACAAGTCGACTTTAATTGCAGATCCATGCAACCATGGTGGGAAATGACACACGGACCCTCAACAGCTGATCGATCGGTTCTTCTCGACTACATTTCCCCATTTCAACCAATTGCCTGCGTCAGCGCCTTCAAGAACGGTCATCACGCAGTCTTCATATCAACTCTGACCTTTTTTATTCTCAAGTTCATCATTTTTCTTTCCACGACATTATTCGTCGTCGAACCAACGTGGCATTTGGAATCGATACCCTTTCGCTATCAGAACACTTTCAATACTGAACACATATGGAGATCGCCTGGAGATGGGATCCAAGACATTTCTAGGCAAGGCGATGCTACAGCGTGGTCGTATATGGCGGCGATCAACAACGCTACAGCAAAGGATCTAAATGGTGCGGCATCAGGGAGCACGGCATACCAGTCGTTGAGTCCACCAAAGTTTTCATCAAATATCTCATCGGTTTCGGCCGTCGTTGACGTCTTCGTACCGAGTGTCCGTTGTGGAGAGGCGTCTTTATCCCTTCCGAAAACTACTTTCACCGAAAAATCTGCTTTGTACTACAATATCAACTCACCGTCCTGCTCTTCCGGCGACTTGGAGTCCATCTACCTTTCTTGCCATCCTTCTTGCAAGGATACAGAACGATCATACTCAATTCACCGATTAGATTGCGCATCGCATGACGATCTTGACGACAAGCGCTCCTCAGAATCATCTGACCCTAATATTCGATACGCGATCACAATAGCAGACCTTTTGATGACGTCCGAGGAAGATCAGTACACGAGTGTCAATATTGAGAGGGCTTCATCAACAATCTGCGAAGTTGGCTACGGTATGGTCTTGGCGAATGCAACACTGGACATCTCAAGCGGCCAAGTTACCCTCAATGAGAATCCTGTGCTCGGCGATTCCCCGCGACGTTTACCAAACATGACAAACCACGATCTTGCAATGATACTAATTGCCAACCTCGACGTTGCCTCAGATACCTTACTAGTAGATCCGAGCATTGACGACAAGGCCAAATCAAAAGATGCCTTTTCTTTTTTCCAACTACTAGCGGCACAACTAAGGACGACACAGGGCAGTTTGAATTCTCTTCTACAGCAATCGCTCTTAGCGAAGCTATCCGAAGGAGTTTTTGAAGGCATGTCGATCGCGTTTGCAAAAAAGGCGTTGCTTCTAGAAGATTCAGACGGGGAACTTTTCGAAGGTGTCGCAGAAGTTGCCGAAAACCGACTACACCTTCGAAATTATACACTGTGGCCCATGGTATCCGGATTTTTTATTCTCTCTATCTTCTGCATTCTTCTTTGCTTTATGATTCCCACTGGCGGAGATCAGCTTAATGTTGAGGGGTCCATCGCATCATGTGCGTCATTGCTCGCAAATAGCCCTTCTTTGCTTGCTGTTTTAAAAGATACTGGCCATTTCCGAAGCAACCAGTTGAGGAGAAAGCTAGAGGATTTGCATTTCATTGTGAGCCACTCCAGAGATGGGCCACGGATTGAAGCCTTTGGCAGCACTCGCGAGGTGCTTTCGCCCCTCGGCCAGCGCAAGAAACGACCATGGCTGCCTCTCCCTGCCAAGCTGCCAATGGTGCTTTTGAGTTTTCTTTTGCCCTTTCTCGTGATCGTACTTCTCGAGATTCTTCAACACCTCTCGGACATGCGGCAAGGCTTGTTGGACCTCGATAGCAGCAGCTCAGCTACTCTTTCTTACGCGGTCCGCCTAGTCTCTACCCTGCTTGCTTTTCTCGTTGCTACTTTGTTCAACAACTTGGACTTTACAATTGCGGTACTTAACCCATTCGGTTTTCTCCGCTCGGGTAGCGTTCCCGCCGACCGGAGCATACTGTTCCATCTTCTTGGGGTGTCGCCTTTTCTCATTTTATTCAACACTTTCCGCCTACGACACTTCGGATCAGCAGCAAGCAACTTCTCTACACTCTTAGCCAGTTTCTTGACTATTGTTGTCTCCGGACTATGGGTCATGGGCAGTCCGGTGCAGACCTTGTCCGTGACTTCAGCAATGGTTGAGGATTGGGACGCGAGTTGGCTCACCAACAATCACGATGACCAAAGAGCTTCAATTACACTTAATATCGTCCGTCATGGAGGCGCCAGCACAACAAGTTCTATACAAGGCTACGATGTGCTCCCAAAAATATCTTTAGGATCAACCGCATACCTCGACAGAGCCAACAATACGTATGAGTCAACAGTGCTTCGGCCAGTCTTAGATTGCAAGCCTGTGCCTCAAGAAGAAATCATATTTGCACCAATGACTCGAAGGATACAAGCAGGGAAGATTGGCCATTGGATAACGGTTGCCGGCGCAACCGTTACATTCAACCAGACCGTTCCCTTTGGCTGTTCTCCCAAAGCCAGTCAACGGGGGAGCACCAGGGACTTAGTTGTCACTTTCTATATACCAGATCGGCAGCTCCAAGATTTCAATGCAGAGAATTGAATCGGGCAATATTGGGATACGGAGGTTACACCCGAACATTCCCAGGGAGACTGCCCCTCGGTTGCTATCCTGTTCGGCAAATTCGAGGTTACGGATGGTCTCCTTGTAAGAAACAACTTGACCGCCTTATTCTGTTCTCAGAAAATTGAAGAGATTCCAGCGACAATCACCTACCGAGGCAACCCTACCAACTTCGACCTTGATAATATCAAGATCCACTCAGAGAAGACGAAGCATTGGGTCAACGGTACATCGAATTCGACGAATCTGGCGTTCAAAATACAAGGTTTTCTCAACTCAGGCCTAACTAGGTTTCCGGTACCGTGTAATCAGTCGAATAATTGTCCTAACTACTACGATAACTTCTTCAATCACATTCTATTTGGCCCACAAGGAATCTCTCCAACCGACATACTCGGTTCATCGAATACTGGCTCGCTTAGTGAGGCTGTCACTCATTCCTTGAAAGAGTACTTTGCACAAGTTGTAGACTTGAACTTCCGGTCAAGAGACTCCGAGACGTCGGTGCAGGGCACATCATTACAGACGACAACCCGTCTCGCAATCCATAAGGTCTCCAAAATCATACTTCAGTCTTTACTAGCAGCAACAACCGTTCTCAGCTTCGTGGGATACAGTTTAGTCAAGATACGGGGCACTTTACCCCGGAACCCTTGCAGCATAGCTAGCACTATGGGGTTTCTTGCCGACTCGCAGCTTTGCGATCCCAAAACTGGCATATTGCCAAAAGATGCCAGCCTTATGACTGAGCAGGAGCTAACGAAAAGCCTGCATGGTTTCTTTTCAGCCTGGGCTGGTGGGAACGTTCGAGGGACAGCGAGGCTAGCAGGCCCACAAGTCCTTCTGGGGAAGAGAGCAGTGACGTGGATGCTGGAGATGAACAGGAGGTTTCTAAGGGCACCTATTTCGGTATCGACGTTGGGCACGCGAATGATTAGGGGTTTTCTAAGAAGGAGCGATGAGGCAAGGGGCACGGTGTTCCAGGGGGCTTTACTTCCAAAAATTCGATGAGAGTACTTTCCTTGTGTTGCATACACGTATTTCATGGACTTCTCGTCAAAGTAGGGTTGACGCGGGGTATTAGAGCGCAAGATTTGTATTCAAACCGCCGTAGCCAAATCATTCAGCGCACTCAATCTCAGATGCCATCATTTCTCACGTCCTAGATTCAGACAAATGCTCTAATTCGCGGGTTATGGTTCTGTGTTCTTCCATTCGTATTTTGTGACGAATGATGGGGACATGGGGGGCACAAGATGCTGAAGTGCCAACTACCAGATTTCTAATTTTCATGTGTGTAGGTGGATGACGACTTGCTCTATGTACTGACCAAATAGGTGCTGATCTCATCAAGTAAATAGATTACTTGATTCAATAGACAACAAAGGTGTGACATTGGTGATTTGAGGTTTATTCCGTCGTATGTACTCAATGAATTTATCCTGTCGCCTGGTGGTGGCGCACCGTCTACAAATCGCCAAGCGTAGAATCATTTGACAAATCTGTGGAGGAAACATGTCAGTAACGCATGTCTACGCAAACATTTCGAATATCATGTTTAAAGCAGAGTTCGATCGAAAGATAGTTTGCATTGCCGCCCAATCCATAGGCCTTTGGGCCACGTTTTTCGAGATGTTATCCAGTTCAACAAACTGGCATGATACGTTAGGAGAATCTTGCTTTTAGATTATGATTATTTATCGTATTCGAGTACCCAAATATCCAGATACAGCCGAGAAAAGCAACAATAAACATTGACAGCCGGGGTGTGGTATCAACTCGCTGTTGTACAGATAAGTTCCCAAAACGCTTAAGCGCTACCATTCAAGAGAAAGGTGACCAGCACTCTAACAATATAAGATGAAACCCCTCGGCTCATACCAGCTACTTCGACAGCTATTACATGAATGGCGGCATGTATTTCAACAGATAACTTTGATTGATCAGCTGACTGCATTTATTGGGAGCAGGCATAGCAGGTAAAGGACTATGTACACACAGGAGTTAGCTTTGGTCTCTTTGTTTTCATTAGCAAAATGGAATGGAGTCTTGGTCTCTTATTGCCTTCATATCATCCAGATACGTTCAGTCTCATGGTTTTCTTACAGGTGAGGGTGTACTCATGCCTTCTGGCTTAAAGCGCAGTTGCTGTCTTCACAATTCCTTAGATGCTAAATAGTTACAAAAAGGGCAGGCCAAACATATGAAAGATGCTAATGTATAGAGGAAGTGGCCTAAGTTGAAAGATGCAAACAAAGCTTCGTTATATGCTTCTGGTTTTATCTCTCATCATTCAGCTTATGTCAATGAAACTTGCTTTGTGGTCCACATGTTTAGAAACCCTCTGATGCGAATATCGTCTCTTGTAATCCAGAGATGTACATCTAACATAACAGCACTCCATGCTTCTAACAGAAGGGACTATGTTCATTCACTCATCTCCACTCACGTGTTCCTTTCCTCGCAACATAAATAAGCCAGCGCAAAATTACAACTTGTAAGAGAACCAAGCGAGGCGAAATGAGTATTCGAACCCCCGTTAGGTGATCGGCTGAACATAGCGGTCTCTAAGCCTGCACCAAGGGTTACATAGCCAGGTGCGCTGCAGCCGCCGTCGCGCGCCCCAGTTTCGCAGAAGGGTGGACTGCTTTCTCAAATTCCCGAATACGTTGTCACATACGGTCAAGAAAGTGAGGGAGAGCAGTGTGGGACAACCTGCACATCACACCTAAGAGTTTCCAGGTCTCTAGCTGTCTCTATGCACATGCATGACTAAACTCCATCTCAGTGTTGGCTGAAATTCTGATCTGTTCCACTCCCAGATCATCCTTTGAATTGCATTGTCTGCTTGTTTATTTTTCTCGTAACAACAACGTAGTATTTACATCAGTCTGGGCTCCCAGAATGAGATGGCTAACAGCATCTAAGATGTGCCTGCCAAGATCGTCCTCTGAAGCTAGCTCTTCATACCAGTAATGGGTATAAAGACAAGCCGGCCTCACCTATTGATGTTTCAATGCGGAGGCGCAATCATACTTCCGGGATAGAAATCGATTGTTAGCTTTGCAACGTCACACAATATCTCAGCTCAAACCACACGATGATACAAGATGTATCCAGCGCAGGGCTTTCCCATGCTGCTTGTTGTCAGCATCACTGGACACCTTTGTGCAGCGGGAGCCGAATAACAAAAAAATAATACCGGAAATCTGAGACTGGAGTCCAGAAAGAAGGCCGCGGAAAGCGCTATACGTAAGTGGGAGGAATTTTCCTCGTGCTTGGCCGGCAACAAAGTGTCCCCGAGGACTTCACAGTAGATATGAGTCCCGATGACTATCAATTTGGTTGAATGAAAGAGCCTTCATCCGCTTCAGAGCACTTAAATATATGTCTTCTGCACCGTCAGCAAATTGGTCTTGGCTCCTGGAGACTCCGATGTTGATCTCACGAGGTTCAGCGCCAGCTACGCCGTTTCTACACGCCAGTTAAGAGAAGCTCTTGTAATTACACAATGCTCAACTTCCTGCGTCTTACAATTGACAAAAGGGATGTCACCGTGGTAAAGCCGGCACAAAACTTTGCAGTGAAGACAGAAGTAACAGGGGGAACTGCTTATCGTCACATCCGTGCCCATAGTCCGGCAACATCTTGCCAGCTTGATCCTTCATAGTATAGAAAATGACCAACATCGGACCGCAAAACGTACGATAGGCAGGTACGAGCGTACTTGAAAAGAGCCTGGATTCCTTGCATCAAATCGCAAAACAAATTATACTTTCCCTTCCCTTTGTTACGCAGTAAACCGCCGTGATAGCAACCAAAGCGTTCGTGACAGCCGGGAACCTGATATGGGAAGCCAACGTCAGAAACCTCCACGAAGCATGCATAAGGATGAATAACCGACGAGTGCCGTAGGGTGGTAGAGATTACGGACGTTGATCGCGAGACGTTACCTGGCCCTCTCGGTACCGAAAATCACCGGTGCCATTCGCCTGCCTGAGGCTGGAAATGACTCCCCATCCTGTCAGAAGGAACAGACTCGATCGGAGCCGACGATTGTCAGGTTTCCGATACAGTCCAGTCCTTTAGACCTTAAATACTGGCATACCATTCAACACATTCAGCACCAACAGCAAACGGACACCTAGCGGTTAAGTACAACCAGTATGAAATTCGTCGTGCCATCATCTCGCTGCATGTTGTTACATCCTTGGTATACACATACACACCTCGCCTCACCTCACTAATCCAAACGTACACACCCACCTGCCCAGCCCACTTACTCACAGTGATCTCGGCAGAAGAGAGGAGATGAAAGAACCTGTTTGTTTGTTTCGGGACGTCGATTCGTGAACCATTGTGCTGCTGCCTTTGTTGTATTTGGTGCTTTTTTGTGTGTGCTGTCCACCCTCAAACCCAATCCATCCACGCCCCCCGCGTCCTGTCGCCGCAATTACCACAATGTTTCCCCTCACTCTCCATCCTGTCGCTTCCACGAAGAAAACCGGCTGCTGTTGTTTTTTATTTTCTCTTGCGCTCGAGGGCATCCATCTTCTCCTCCAACGCCTGGACGTAGTTGGTCACGCGCTGGACGGCGGCCTGGAGTGACTGTAGCGTAGAAATACTGGTTAGCTTTACTTGACTCTTCAAAGCGCTGGGAGTCAGAAGATTGAAGACGAGAAGGGATTTCTCGAAAAGAAAGAAACACAAGATGCGCCACACTGGAAGGGCAAAGTCTACTAAGAAAATATGGGAAAATGCCCCCTTCTGCAACGTGCAAGAAAAGAGATGTTCAACCGGCTCCTCTGAAACCCTCAGAGAGAGAGAAGAGAAAGACAAAGAAGAGACATGAAGAGAGCCGGCGCGGGGGCACATCGGGAGTCAGGGAGACAATATCAGATGCAAAGACGCACGTAGATATCCTCCGTCAGGAGCTCGTTCGAGGTCTTGTATTCTTGGAGGAGGTACGAGTAGACGCCGGCGCCGGCGAGGGAGCTGCCGAGGAAGAAGCCGAAGAGACTGCGATAGCATTGGAGTCAGCATTGTATCCCATCTGTTATCAACATCATAGCTGAGTGGCGGCGTCTGCGACTGCGCACGGCACGTGAGGCCAATTGAGCCCCCCTAGCGGGCATGACGTAGGGCAGCTGGAGGCGAACTCGACGAAGCTCGGCCGGACGGGGGGAGGGAAGACACTCACCCTCCACGGAAGGCACCGACGGGTTTCCGGGCAGGCAGAGGAGCGGCGGCGGCGTCGCGCAGGGCGGAGGAGGTCTGGAAGGAGCGGGCGGCGCGGATGGGCAGGCCGGAGGCGCGGGGGAGCGCGCGGGAGAGGATGCGGGAGGACATTGTTGCGTCGTGTGTCGTCGGGCGTTCGATTCGGGGAGGTTTCGTGTGCGTGCGACCGGGGCGAGAGGTGAGTTCTGGTCGCTCACGAGGTTTGGTCGGTTCTGTGTGTCGTAGTGAAGAAGAGGGGAAAAAAAAAAGAGCTCTCTCAACCCGGTGGTGGAGGCAAGATGGGATGGGGGGGGGGTGTGGTGTATGCAATGGAGGTTGGAATTGCAGGTTCGGGTCGGTCGTAAAATGGGCGGGAAGCTATGGTTCGGCTAATGCTTGTTGCGCAGGTAGGTAGTCGGTGGTGCTTGTCCCTCTGGCTTGGCTCTGCCGCTGCGCCGCCCATTACCTCAGGTACCGTTGTCCTCCGTCAGCGCCGGCCACGGCGGGATTAGCCGGGAAGCCATTGGGCACAGCCCATTGGTCAGAAATTTCGAGGTTTTTCGGTGTCTGGGGGATTTGCTGTCTGGGGTTGGTGGCTTCATGGCCCACTGAAGGGGGGGTTTGGAAGGGGTGGTTCTCTTACAAAGCTCCGGCACTTGGTCGGCGTTTTGCGACCTGGGAAAGACCATGATGACGTCTTATGGGTGAAGAATCGAATGGCAGTTGCATAAGTGTCGAAATTGGGGCATTATTTGACTTTTCACAAAATATCTCGCAGCTATTCTCATCTACGC